GTGCGTCGACGTCAGTGCCGGTGGACCTCCAAGATGCCATCTCCTGCTCCGTGGCAGCTATCGACTGAGAGGCCCAGGGTCCCGAGGTGGCCTCAGCGTAGGTGCGAGGGGTCGGGATGTCGAAGGCGTCTGGGTCACCCTCTGGGACTAGGAGCATGGAGCAGAGATGGGGAGCGGCCTCGGAAAGGAAAGCAAGCTCGTACTGCCGGTCCTCTAGAACGTCACTGCCAAGGGCAGGTGCACCCCCGACAAACGGAGGACGGGCAGGGTGAGAGACCAGAGCAGTAGCGTAGTCAAGGCGGCGGGTAGAGGCGCAGTCAGCGACAGCAGCGACAAGCGCGTCAAGGCGCGAGACAGGAACAGACGGGTCGGTAACAAAAGAGGCAAGGACTCGAGGGACAAGGGGACGAGCGGCACGGAGGTAGTCAGACAGCGGGGGAGGTGCAATAGCATGCGACGAGGGAGGAGGCGAGGTGAGGAGGGGAGGACGAGACGAGTGAGAACGGAGCAACATAGAGTGGGAGCGCAGGACAAGGAAGATGGGACGAGCACGTGAGGGGTGGCGAGACCAAACATGGGACAGAGGTGTAGGGTCAGGAGACTGCGGAGGGGACAGAAAAGGGGAACGAGGAGGAACACGGGCCGGAGAAGAGTGCGGGGGCGGGAACATAGGGCTGTAAACAGGAAGGTGAGAAGGTGATGTAGGAGACACCGGCCAGCAATCAGGGGAGGGAAGGCCGAGCAGGCGAAGAGCGGAGACCGGCGGCGACGTCTGCGGCGGCTGCTGCGATGGCTGGATCTCGACCCGCGGACCGGCAGGGGCACGACGACCGCCGGGAGAACACTCAACGGCAGCACCCCCAGAAGCAACACCCCCAGAGCGAGAACCCCCGCCAGCACTAGCGGCACCCCCAGACTCGCCGGGACAGACCACGCCAGGAGCCGCAGGACGAACACGCTCCTCAACATCAGCACCCCCAGAGGCCAAGAGCGGCAGCAGGGGCACGGGGATACCGAGGAAAGGAGATGCAACAAGGACGGGTCGGGGGGACCACCTGAGTCAGTAGACACCTCAACGGGGACAACCGACGGGAGGGAAGTGACATGCGAGACACCAGATGGGGAAGGATGAGGCGGGGGGGGAGCAGGGGCAACCGGGGGAGAGAGAGCAACGAACAGGGGGGGGGGAACCAGGAGACCTCGGTGAGGGAAGCGACGGTAGAAGGAGACAGACTCGTCAAAGGTGACATCACGGGAGTGAAGGAAGCGGTGAGACTGGGGGTGGTAGAAGAGCCAGTCAGACGAGTCCAGGGGGAAACCGAGGAAGATACAGGGGACAGTGAGGGCGGTGAGCTTGTCCGTGCCAGAGGCACGAACGTGAGCAAGGCAACCAACCCCAGACGTGGAATGCAGACGCGTCACCGGGGGACCTGGTCCAAAGGAGGGTTGGCGAAACCTGCGGCCGCTGGGAGCGTGGCCACAAGTTAAGCTGGTGAGCAGCGTAGCGAACAGCGAACGACTACAGAAAATGGGGGGCATCGGCATGAATCATGGAGGTACGAGCAACCTCCATGACCAAGCCGATGCGGCGCTCAGCAACCCCATTCTGCTGTGGCGAGTCCGGCAAGGTGTACGACTAGGTGATGCCCTCCGCACGACAGAACTGTCCAACCCGACCAGAGGCGAACTCGCCGCCACGGTCAGAGTGGAGACACAACATGGGGAGACCGCGGTGAAGACGCGCAGCCACAACCCACGGGAGAAGAACGTCGGGCACGTCGGCCTTCCGCTCCACGGGAAACACCGTGGTGTAGCGCGTGTAGTTGTCGAGGAGCACAAGAAAGTACTTCTCACCGCGCGGTCCGGGGACGGGGGCTGGGCCCCAAACGTCAAGGTGCAGGGTCTGAAGGGGAGCAGTAGCAGGGCGAAGCGAGGAGGAGTGAGGAGCACGGCGGAGCCGGCCCTCGACGCAAGGTGTGCACGGTGGAGCGGTCGAGGGGGGGAGGGCGGGGAGCGACGCGGGGAGGCCTAAGACAAGACCGTGCTCGGACATGTGACGCAAGCGCGGTAGAGCAGGGTGACCTAAGCGGTGGTGCCACAGAAGGTATGGGTGAGTGAGGGACTGACACGAGCAAGCTGCAGCGACCTGGGAGGACGCACGAACCGGGGGGGAAGTGGTGTCGAGGGTAAACAGACCGAACACCGGGTCCCGGGGGAACATCGCAAGGGGGGAACCTGAGACAACCTCGGTACAGACAGCGAACCGCTCGTGCCCAGGGAATGTAGTGGTGACGCCGAGGTCCTGAAGACAGCCAACACCAACTAGGTTCCTGGAGAACGAGGGAACGTGGAGGCCTGTAAAGGAGCCCAAGGGAACGGCTGGACAGGGAAGGGAAGTGGAGCTGCGAGCGACGACAAGACCCGCAGAGGGGTCAGGGAGAGCGACAACAGCTGGCGCGGCAAGCGGCGTGAGCGTGGAGTGGTCGTGGAAGAAACAGGTAGAAGCACCGGAGTCGAGAGTGAAGGACAGCGAGGCAGTAGGAGAGGCCGCGAACAGGGCCGGTGCAGGAATGAGGCTAGTCAAACTAGGCAGTCCTACGCTTGACGCAGCAGGGGAGGCTAAGCTACACCTAAACTAGAGTACACTGGGTAATAAGATCCAGCAACACTAGAAGCCTCAGCATACAAGGCATGCAAAGCAGCACGTATCTGATCCATATCTAACTCAAAGGTCGGCACGCCCTGGTGAAGCAGGCTGTGCTAGTCGGAGAGGTCCGGGGCCGGGCCAAAGCGACGACGAAAGAGATCGTTGAGGCGGTGGAAACAGCGGGTGGTCGGGTGCGGGCGGCGGCACTAAGTGCCACGGAGAGGCCCGGTCTGAAGCTGGTACTGGCAGGTCACACCAACGGAGCTGCCGGTAAACGCCAAGCTGCGCGGGCCGCCACCACGGCCACCACCTCCGGAGGTGCCGGGCCAACCCGGCGGGGGACGAGCCCACGGCGGGGGCTGAGACAGCGGCTGCGACGACTGCGGCTTCTGCGACAGCTGCGGCTATTGCTCCTACTGCTGGGGCGACGGCAGCTGCTCATGACTAGCTGCGGCAGTCCCCTCAGTAGAACCACTGTCCCCGGCACTACCACCACCACCAGCTCCACCACGACGCCCTCCCTGGCGGCCACGGACAGCGCGGCGTGGGCGCTGCTGTGGGTGGACCGCAGCTGCAATCTCGGTCAGAGGGGTCGTAGTGGCGACCGCAGCCGAAACGTCAGTAAAGATAGAGACTGCCGGCGCACCGCTCGACTGAGCGATAGTGCGTTGGCGAGTCTCGATCTCGGTAAGGGCGGTGACAAAGGCCGGTAGGGTGAGATCACCAGCGTGCTGGCTAAGGATGTGGTTGCGTGCACTAGCGAGGTGGTCAGGCAGGGGCATAGCGATAAAGTAGAGGGTCATGCAGAAGGGGGGAGGGAGCGCAGTGAGCTGGGCAGCAGTGCTAGCAGTGCGGTAGCGAGACTCTAGGGCACGCAGGTGAGTGGCAAGGTCAGCAACAGTAGGGAAGGAAGCAAGGTCTGGGAAAAGCATAGGGAAGAGCAGGCGGCCGGCAGTAGCGGAGGCAGGCGTGGAATAGCGAGCAACAACAGCATCCAAGTAAGCCTTGGCTGTGTCAACTGTAGCGAAACGCGAACGCTCAGACATAGGGAGGGCGTGATTGATAGCGACCTGAGCAACCGCATCGCGAGCGTCCCAGGCGGCACAGGCAAGTGCAGCAGCAGAGAAAGTCTCACGCTCAGCAGAGGTGGGATCAGCAGGGAGGGGAGCAGGCGCAGGGGGGCGGGGGAGCAAGCCCATCATGGCGCTGACCTGTGAGTTGACGGCGGAGGTCGGACAGCAAGGCGGCGAAGTCAACCGCGTGGCCCTCAGCGTCCAGGCGGAGGATGAAGTCAGCCATTGTGGAGGGTCAGCGACACTGGGACACAGCGGCACAGCTGCACAGGACACAGCGGCACAGCTCCAGGAGGACGTCTGCAAGACGCTCCCGCGCGGGCAAGCAGAAGTCACGGGGCCGGAGAGTCGAGGAACCGTGCCGAGTAGAAGACACGGGGCCGCAGGAGCCGGGCATGCACTGGGAGCTGCGGGCCGCAGGAGCCGGGTAGACGTGTCGGCACCGGCCTGGTGCTAGGAGGGGCCGGGCAGGCGCTAGGAGGTGCCGGGCGGGAGCTAGGAGGGGCCGGCCGGGCGGGCGCTAGGAGGGGCCGGGCAGGCGCTAGGACGGGCCGAGCGGGCGCTAGGAGGGGCCGGCCAGGCGCTAGGAGAGGGCGGGCGGGCCCTGTGGGGAGGGCGGGCGCTAGGAGGGGCCGAACGGGCGCTAGGAGGGGCCGGGCGGGCGCTAGGAGGGGCCGGGCGTGTGCTATGGGACCGGCGGGTGCAACTGGCCGGGCGCTAAGACGGACGGGCGGGCGCTAGGAGGGGCCGGCCAGGCGCTAGGAGGGGCCGGGCGGGCGCTAGAACGGGTCGAGCGGGCGCTAGGAGGGGCCGACCAGGCACTAGGAGGGGCCGGGCGGGCACTAGGGGCCAGGCGGGCGCGATAGGGCCAGGCGGGCGCAACGGGGCCAAGCGGGCGCGACGGAGCCAGGCGCGCGCGACGGGCCAGGCGTGCGCGACGGGCCAGGCGGGCGCGACAGGGCCAGGCAGGCGCGACAGGCCAGGCGGGCGCGACGGGGCCAGGCGGGCGCGACAGGCCAGGCGGGCGCGACGGGGCCAGGCGGGCGCGACGGGGCCAGGCAGGCGCGACGGGGCGGGCGGGCGCTTAAGGGCCAGGCAGGCGCTACGGGCCGGGCGGGCGCTACGGGGCTGGGCTGGCGCTAGGGGCCGAGCGGGTGCTAGGGCTAGGTAGGGGGGGATAGGCTAGGGCGCGGGCAGAAGCGGGCGGGCGAACCTAGCCTACTCGTGATACCATGTTAGAATGCAAGAATGATTTTACTAGTGTGAGAAACCTAGAACATATACCTGTTGGGGTTGTACTCACTAGAAGCACACACCTAGGCTAGCCTATAACTACTACATACATAATATGTATATGTTGACAAGTACCGGTATTACAATTCGTGAATCAGGTAGTACACCAATGCATGCGCTACTGCTTCCCCCACAGGCCCTGTAACTGCATCCTTTTCTTCTGATGTTTTGCCGTAGCACGAATAGTGGTGGTCGCCAGGACACACATCCACGTATCTTGGCATCTCGATTTTCCACGAGTCAAACACATGCATGGAGGATGCCAGCCGCTTTCCTTTCACGGTGAACGCTCGCGACACCGACGCTTTATCCCAAGGTTGTGCCGGATCTGTATCAGCTGCTGTGTAGCATGCTTCCTGATTACCACCTTCACCACCACCACCACATTCGTTGTGGTCACCTTTACAACCTCCACAATCACCACCTTTAATACCACCACCATCACTACCACCACCTGCAGCCAGGGCTCTCATCAACCGATTTAACTCCATAATCACAAGGTTGGTTACGGGGCCAGCAAGCACACCCGTGCGAGCAGCGCAAAATCCGCCCCCATTGGGCAGTGGGGGTGCTGTGCGCAGTACCATCGGCTTGCTGGTTCGGGCGGCTAACTGGAGTCCCCAGTGGAAGTATTCTGGGAGGTGGGCTCGCACGGCTCGCACTGGCTCTGCGCACCGCCCACTCGCCCAGTAGCCCCCTTCCAGGATGGTGACATCAGCTGTGGAAGAGAGGTCGGTTGGGAATGTGGTGCTGTGATGGGTGAACTTGCCTCGATGCCTGAGGCGTTTTGTTTAAGGAAGGGCATGGGGGAAGGGGGGGAATGAGTGAGGTCTACAGAAGCACATGTTGTTGGCAACAAAGGGAGAGGATGGGATGCATGGATGGGATGATGGGCCCTGATGGACACTCTCACAACAGCCCCAGCTCACCCGCAGCGTGGATGGGGTGATGGGATGCGTGGATGGGGTGATGCGATGCGTGGATGGGGTGATGGGCTCTGAGCCGCATGTCATAGCAACCCAGCGCACCCGCAGCCGAACTCCCCGTTGCGGTAGATGCCATCCACCCAGTAGAAGTTGATCCTCAGCGTCTCGTTCCACTGGTTCCGCGACTCCAGCGAAAAGTCCATGCCCCGATTGCGCTTATCCGCATCCCCTGACAGCAGGAAGTGCAGGTGAACTGCCAGCTGTCGCTGGTGAGAATCCCCCACCATGTTGATCTCTCGGACTCCCTTTCTCCAGAGCTCTCTGATCCAACGGTCAGGAAGAGACTCTGCTGGCGCACAGGGGAAGAAAGCCCAACTGATGATCGAAGTGGGGAGAGCGGGGGGGCGGGGAAAGGATGCGGAAAAGGGAGTGCGAGAACATAGGGGTGAGAGGGAAGTCCCAGTTCCTGTGATCCTTCCTTCCCGTCTCATCCCGCTTCCCCTGACAGCAGCAAGTGCAGGTGAGGTAGGAAAGCCCAGCTGGAGTTAGGAGGGAGTGGAATAGGGAGGAGGGAGAGGGAGCTAGTGAGGTTGACAGAAAGTCCCAGTGCCAGTACCTCTTCTCATCCGCCTCCCCTGGTGCAAGTGCCGGTGAGCTGCCAGCACCCTCTGATGCAAGTCCCCACTATGTTGACCTCAGTGACTCCCTATTCCTGAGCCTCTTGATTCAACCGCTGGAAAGACTCTGCTGCAGGGGAAGAAAGCGCAACTAGACTGGGATTGGGGAGTCGGGAGGAAATAGGGGAGAAGAGAGTGAGAGAGGAGTGAAATTGAGAGGGAAACAGCAAAGAGTTTAGGTGTGCTACCTAGATTCTCTAGTACGACTCCCCTATTGTGTTCATTTCACGAGAGCCCCTTACTCTTGAGCGTTCTTTCCACGACCAGGGATGGATGGAGAAGCGCGCGAATCAAAAGACACGTCCACATGCAGAGCACTTGCCAGAGATTGAAACACGAAGAGGGGGCACGAGGACACTCCCGTCTCTTTCTGCCGTGCCTTCTTCCACCCACCAGGGATCATGGCGTGGAAGCAGGACTTCCCATAACACTCATTTGAGCCACACCTGTTTGAGGCACACCTGTTTGAGCCACACTGCTTCAAGTCACACAGGTCACTCACGTGTAGTTGCCATCGTCAGCTTTCTTCCACCGACCAGGGATGGACGAACCCGCACAAGGAGAGGCTTGTATCTCTGGGGAGGTGGTATCTGAGGAAAAGGCATCTGGGGAGGTGGTATCCGCGTCACTATCATCCCCATCACCAGCATCACCACCAAAACCGGCAGCACCAGCAGTAGCATCTGAAGAGACAGGAATCTTCTTGGAAGCTGCATCTGGCCAGCCAATTGAGAGGGTCCACGTGGCAAGGTCGTGGCGGAAGGTGGAGTTGAAATGGGCGGCGAAGGAGGAGGAGAAGTTGAGATTCTCACAGCCCACGTGCAGAGTGGCCCTGTTGGGGGGGGAAAGGGGGGACGAAATTCGGGCAGAGTGAAAAGGTTGAGGGGAGAAGAAGGTGATCGGAGGGAGAGAGGGGAGGTAGGGAAAGAGAGCGGAAATCGGGGTTAAATGAAGAAAAATAGGGGGGGAGAGGGAAAGTTAGGGGGGGAGTAAAGCCAACGGGGGAGAGATGGAAAATTTGGGAGGGGAGAGTTGCGGGGATAGTTGGGACAGGCCCTCACCTACCTGGGGACGGTGAATGAAGCCTCGCGACTGGAGTGGCCTCCCCTGGGGGCTCCCGAGGCAGGCATGTCCCTCGGGGACAGGTTTGCTGTCATAGAGCCCAAGGGGAAGAGGCCGCAGGATAGGAGACTCACCTGATCCACTGTGCCTGCTTGTGCTAGCTTGTACCCAGGATTCCCCAGCAACAAAGGACCGTTCGAGGGATAGTTGGGGAGAGAAAGAGTGGGTGTTGGGGGCATAGGCTACCCCATTGCTATCGCTGAAATAGCGCATATCCCTACTCATATAGCGTTCCCATGGAGCCACCTATTTAGCATACATGCATAGCTACCGATGTGCCTTACCTCTACACCTTATATAAAGCTTCGCAATAGCTACATAATTTCCCTATTTAGCACACCTATAAAAGCCAACACGCATACCATTATAGCTATAGCTACAATGGGGGGGAAGGGAGGCGGTAGGAAGGGAACATGGCAGTATGTGTGAGCGCAGAGAAACGGGGAGGCAGAAGCAGCGCAGAGAGCTGAAGTGGGAGGAGATCATACGCACAGCCGTCGCGTGCAGAAGATCTTGGGGGAAAATAAGAGACGAGGGGTTGCGAGCAGGCAAGGTGTCGGAGCGCTGCACGCCTCATGGCCCACAGCCGGACCTTGCAGGGCAAAGGTGGCATCCCCCTCTCCCTGCGCCGCTGCTTCCACATACCTGTAAACGCCCACGTCCCAGAGGCGGTAGGACACGAGGAAGTGCGAGCAGGCAGGGGGGTCGACGCACTGCACCTCCCCGTAGCCCAGAGCAGGACCCTCCAGCGAAAGAGTGAGGTCCTTCTTCCACCAGCTGTACCGGCCAATCATGCTGCTAGGGACACTGCCGCCCCAAGGCACCGCCCACTGAGTCACAGCCATCAACCCCGCCAGCATGCTGCTGCTGCTGCTGGCGGTGGCGGTGGTGCTGCTGTTGCTGCCGTCAAAAGGCAGAACCCATTCAGCAGGCGGCCTCACCCACACGTGCATGCTGCACTGCTCTCCCCGCACACACTCAGAACAGCCCCTCCCCGCCACCACCACCCCGCCTGCTGCTACTGCTGCTGGTGCTGCTGCTGCTGCTGCTGTCGTGTTGCTGCTGCTGGTGGTCGTCGAAATGGGTTCTGAGGGGAATGCAGGGCGGGCGGGGTGGAGTGGGCAGCAATGGAAGCACTGCCTTGTGCCGTCGTACGTTCTTCTTCAAGAGCGTCAGTAACTGCATGCCGCATTCAAGTGAACCTAGTAAGCACGCGCAAGGGTTGGAGGGGCGGAAGGCTACCTGAGGACCAGCAGGTATGCGCCAGCGTGGCGTTGAAAAGCGCCTCTGCAGCTACTGGCGCACCGAGGGCGCCGCTGCCAGTGGAAGGGACCCTGGAGGCCGGGGGGGACGGGAGGACATGAGAGCTGCTGGGAAGAGGTTGGCGCGACTGGGATGGGGAGAGACATGAGGGGATGGGCGGGAGATGGGGAGTGGGACTCGATCTTAATCAGAATCCATTTGGACACGTAGGGTTGTGAGTTAGTGTAGGGATGTCGAATGTGGGTTTTTTTTCCTGAGTCGGCTGCGAAAAAGCACCTTGGCCAACAGATTAAAGCCTTCAGCCGAGTTAGAGGGTGGAGAGGCGGCAGAAGCCGTTGAATTCGGAGCGAAATGTGAGCGTGTTGGGGACGAGTGCGGACGGCGTTCGTGGGGAAGCGTACTTGCTAAAGCGTACGGGGAAAGCCGTACGCGGAAAGTGGTATGTGGGAAAGAGTACGAGGGAACGCGCGTGTGGAGGGCAGAAGCTACGCAGTGAGGCGGAGTATCCGAGAGACACCTAACCACACGTTTGAGTCTCGCACTGTGCGCGTGGGAGCGTGCAGACAGAACAGTCTCCAGTGGCACTACCACCCCACTCGAGGTAGCGTGTGAGTGGACTCATTGCAACGGACCTGCTGCCATCGCCGACAAGCGACCAGCCCGTCTGCTTTCGCGGCGCCACAAGTAAAGGCGAGCTCTCCGTCTGGTCGTCGCGCGTGAAACACCGCCATACCTCAACCGCCACCAGCGCCAGCAGCAGCACGTTCAGCACCAGAAGAAACAAACGTCCTGCGTGCTTTGACTTTTCGAAGCTCCTTACGTTTTCCGTCACTTGTCCGTCCATTTGTCGACCATGTGCGAGGTGATGTAGCTATTAGACGCAAGGGTGCGGTGTCGCGGCTCACAGTGTAGTCTTCCTGGTGACTCAAATCCTCTCCTGGTGACAGTAAAGCTTTCCAAGGGGTCGTTTCATACAAGTCATGTGCGTTAATCGTAATGACATTCTATGCTACGTACTACACCGTAAGCCGTTTATCCTTAGAAGCAGCTACCATGTACGCCCCGAGTTCGGATTCAACGATACTGTTTGGATTACAGTCCTTATTGTACGATTAAAAGCGACCGTTGTGATTGGAGGAAGAGCTCTGACACACCTAGATCTGTCCGACCTCGAGAACGAATGCGCGGAGCTGGATCCACTTCATCCTGGACAAAAATCAGGTTCCGAAATCCAACCATTCAAGAAACGCCAGGTTTTGTAACGAAACAAATTGCGATTCGTCTGCAAATATTGTGTCGTGTTTGGGAAACAAACCTCGAATTGATTAGGGCGTGGTTTTTACATGTTGCGCAACACGGTCAAGTTGGGCAGTTTGAGGCTGTTACGATATTCGTAAACTTTTCGAGGTTACCATGTTAAATTATATATATATTGTGTTACATAATTGGTAGGCTTGGTAGGTTATCGAACTCTAGTGTAAAGGGTGCAATCCCCTCTTTGTATGCCTCTCTCTCTTCTAGTTCCACCTCTTTTCTCTCGTCAAACTTTTCTCTCCTAGCTCCTAGCTCCTGAACCCTCACGCCATTTCATGGCCACTCTTTCTTCCTAGCTAGTATTTTAACATGGTATCGGAGCGGGTTCCCCTCCCCGGGCCTGCTCCCCATGCTTCCGCCGCGTACTCCTTCTCTCCCTCGCGCGCTGCCATGGCGGCCGCCTCAAGCTGCTATGGCGGCGTCGTAGCGCCGCTGGTTGCGTCGTGCCGCGGCCGTCTCGACGCGCTGCCGTGGCGTCGCGCCGTCGTGGCGTCAACGTCAAGCCGTGGCGGCACCGTCGACGTCCAGCCGTGGCGGTGTGACAGCACCATCGTGCTGCCGTCGCAGCGTCGACGTCCCGCCGCGGTATCGACACCGCTTTGTGACGGCGCCGTCGGGCTACAGCCGGCCGCGCGACGCTTGTGGCGCCGCTACACCTGCCGCCTGAGCGCCAGCCACACCCCCCCTCATTCCCCTTCGTCCCCTTCTCCTCACCATAGCCGACGCCTGGCGCGTGGGGGACGCCATCGCCGCCGAGATTGGCCATGCCGCCGAGAGGGCGGGGGCCGCTACAGTCGCCTCTGACGTTGAAGCCGCCGCCGCCGCCTCTGTTGCCGTAGGCCGTTGCCGCTGCACGGCGCCGCCGCCACCGTTCTCATCACTGCTGTGGCTGCCGCCATTGCCATCTCACGGGCCATGGGGGCTGGCCCCACTGGAGTAGACGTGGCTGATGCTTGGAATGGGGATGCTAGGTGTAAACTTATACAAATCTTTATATGTAGAAGTTATAGGCTAGATAGGATTAGTTCTTAGAGAGTACTTCCCAACCCTATATCTTCCTTGTACTCTCTTGTTTTCAACATACTTTCTAGTCTTAAAGCGAGAGGTCAAAATAGTGAAGGCGGGTCCAACTTGAAAGGCCCAGACGTATGTTTTTGCGACTAAGGGACAAAACTGCGATGGGGCAGAGGGTACACATTCGAGAAATGCAAGCAGGGGAAACTGGGCGAGAAGATGCAGTTACCTGATTGGTTGGCGGGGAAAATATGTCGTACGGTGGGGAAAATGGCTCGGGCAAAATCGCAAGCAGCGCGCCACCTGTCACCCAACCCCCGCTGCTGTAAGCTGCACCAAGTGGGCCCAACTTGAATTTCAAGTTGGACCCGGGTTCACTACACCAGCAAAACTGAGGCTGGGCCCCGATTGGTCGAAATGCTAACCACACAAATCTATGGTCGTAAAATTTGTCGCCAGTGCGAAATGTCGCAAACGCAATTCGATTCCGTGGCCTACGGCTTGGTAAAAAACGGGGGCTGTTGCCTGCCCCTCCAAAAACATATTCACTGCTGGGTCGTTTCTGGTTGGGCCCAACTAGAAAGGGGAGTCACTATTATAATCTCTCGCTTTAACATGGTATCACGAGTAGGTAGGTCCACCCACCCGCTTCCGCCCCGTGCCCTGGCCTACCGTGCCTTGCTAGACCTAGCCGGCCCCTCATGCCCCTACGGCCCCTCGTGTCTCTAGTCGGCCCCTCGCGCGCCTACCGGCACCTCGCGCGCCCCTACTGGCCCCGCGCGCCCCTACCAGCCCTTCGCGCCCCTACCAGCCCCTCGCGCCCCTACCGACCCCTCGCGCGCCCCTACTGGCCCCGCGCGCCCCTACCAACCCCACGCGCCCCTGCCGGCCCCTCACGCCCTAGCCGGCCCCGTGCGCCCCTATAGCCCCTCGCGCCCCTATGGCCCCTCGCGCCCCTAGTTGGCCACTCGCTCCCCCCCCCAACCGGCCCATCACGCCCCTACGGCTCTCGCGCCCCTACCGGCCCCTCGCGCCCCTACCGGCCCACCGTGCCCCTACGGCCCCTAGCGCCCCTACGGCCCCTCGCGCCCCTACGGCCCCTCGCGCCCCTAGTTGGCCCCTCGCGCCCCCAGCCGGCCCATCGCGCCCTCTACGGCCATCGCGCCCCTACCGGCCCCTCGCGCCCCTACTGGCCAACCGTGCCCCCAGCGGGCCCCTCGTGCCCTAGCCGGCCCTAGCCGGCCCTAGCCGGCCCCTAGCTGACCCTAGCTAGCCCCGTGCGCCTTCACCGGCCCCCTGCGCACCTGCCGGCCTCTTGCGCCCTAGCCGGCCCATTGCGCCTCCACCGGCCCCTCCTAGCGCCCGAGCTAGCCCCTCGCGTTCCCGCTGGCCTCTGCTGGAGCACCGATCTGCCGAGCCATCGAGCTGCCGAGCAGCCGAGCCGGCGAGCCGGCGAGCCGCCCTCCCGCCGAGCCGCCGAGAAGCCGTACCACCGAGCCGCCGAGCCGCCGTGACCCCGAGCTGCCGTGTCACCAAGAGCCGAGCCGCTGAGCCGCAGAGCCGGCGTATCGCTGTGCCGCTGTGCCTCTGTTCCACTGTGCGATGGCGGACGCCGTTCTTCGCTTGGACGCTGAGGGGCACGCGGCCGACTTCGTCGCCTGGCTCGTCGACCTCCGCCGACACCTGACAGGTCAGCGCTAGGATGGGCACTCCCTGGCTATGCATATTGATGGCTTGCTCCCCCGCCCCCGTGTGCCTGATCCCCTCCCTGCTGACCCTACCACTGCTGAGTGTGAGGCCTTTGCTGCTGCTGCGCTCGCTCGCGCTGTCTGGGATTCTCGCGATGCTGTAGCGATTGCGAATAGCCATGCCCTTTCCCTGTCTGAGCGTCCGTGCTTCACCACTGTAGACTGTTGTAGATGTAGTAGTTGCACGCTACTCCACGCCTGCCTCCGTCTCAGCTGGCCGCATGATCCTACCCATGCTATTCCCTGATCTTTCCACTTTCCCCACCGTAGCTGACCTTGCTACTCACCTCCGTGCACTAGAGACCAGCTACCGCGCTGCTAGCTCTGCCGCCCAGTTTACTGCCTTCCCCCCACCTTTCTGCGCTACCTTGTACCTCATCGCCATGCGCCTGCCTGGCCGCTTAGCCACTGCCCGCAACCACTTCCTTAGTCAGCACCCTGCCGACCTCACCCTGACCGCCTTTGTCACTACACAGTCTGAGATAGAGACTCGCCAGCGCACTATCGCTCAGTCGAGCGGTGTTGCGGCAGTCCCTATCTTTCAGGGCTGTGCTCCCTCCCAATGCACTTACAGTGACGTCTTCGCCGCCGTTGCCATGACTACGCCTGCCCCAAAGACAGCAGCTGCGGCTTACTCACAGCATCGCCAGCGCCGGGGCCGCCGTGGCCCCAAGGGAGGACGTGGTGGCAGTGCTAGCGGTGGTGGTGGTGGCGGGGACAGTGGTTCGGACGAGGGGGTTGGAGCTGGTGCCCAGGAGCAGCAGTAGTCGCCGCAGTCGCAGCCACAGCCACACCCGTCGTAGCAGCAGCAGTAGTCGTCGCAGCAGCAGCAGCCGTGGGCTCGCCTCCTGCCAGGGTGGCCAGGAGCCCCAGGAGATGGTGGTCGCGGTGGTGGCCCTCCCAGCTTGGCGTCCACCATCGGCTTAGGTTCTGCGAGCTGCCAGTACCAGCTCCAGACCGAGCCCCTCTGCGGCATGGTGTGCCGCAGCCCGCATCCCACCGCTCGTTGCTTCCGCCACCTCGACGACCTCTTCCGTCGCCGCTTTGGTCCAGCCCCGGACCTCCCTGACAGGCCCACTCTGCTGCGCCACGGTGTGCCCATATTTGAGTGAGACATGGATCAGATTAGTTCTACCTTGCATTCTCTGTATGCTGATGCTCCGAGTGATTTCGGATCATATTACTCTGTGTTGTCTAGCTTAGGCATAGCACCTGTGTGTAGTCCAGACTCCCCTGCTGCGTCAGGCGTAGGACAGCTTGCTTTGTCTAGCCTAGGCTCTACCCTTGCTCCTCAATCGTTAGCCACTATGGCGTCGCTATCCTTCACTCTTGAAACTGGTGCGTCAGCCTGTTTTTTCCGCGACCACGCCACCCTCACGCTCTTGCTGCACCTGCTACTGTAGCCCTTGCTAACCCCTCCTCTGGTCCTGTCGTTGCTCGCAGCTACACCTCCCTTCCCTGTCTGGCAGTTCCCTCGGGTTCCCTTACAGGCTTGCATATCCCTTCGTTCTCCATAAACTTAGTTGGTTTCGGCTATCTTCAGGACCTCAGCGTCACCACTACGTTCCCTGGTCACGAGCGGTACGTGGTCTGTACCGAGACTGCCTCAGGTGCCCCCCTTGCGACTTTCCTCCGGGATCCTGTGACTGGCCTTTTTACGGTGGATACTGCGCCCCCCCCCGGCGGGCGAGTCCTCCTCTGGTCCTGCTTCCACCCAAGTTGTTGCGGCCTGCTCGTTTCGGTCGCTCACTCACCCGTCGCTTTATGGCACCAACGCCTAGGTCACCCCGCGCTCCCGCGTCTGCGTTACATGTCTCAGCACGATCTCGTCCTAGACCTTCTTGCGTCGCTCCCTACTCTCCCTCCTTCGCCGGCACCGACGTGCACGCCCTGCGTCG